TCGCCACCCTCCTCGCCACCCTCCTCCGCCACCCTCGTCGCCACCCTCCTCCGCCACCCTCCTCGCCACCCTCGTCGCCACCCTCCTCGCCACCCTCGTCGTCCTCCTTTTCGTCCTCCTCCACCACCCTCCTCCGCCACCGTCCTCCTCCTCTTCCTCCTCGTCCTCCACCCTCCTCCACCACCCTCCTCCTCCTCCGCTACCCTCCTTTTTCAATCAATCAATCAATCAATCAATCAATCAATCAATCAATCATTCGATCGATTCAATCAATGAATCGATTCAATTCGTTGATTGGGTCCAATCTTGATCTTGGAGGGGGTAGAGGACGATGAGGATAACGAGGACGAGGGGGCAGACAAGGTGGAGAATGAGGAGGAGGCAATGGTGGAGAAGATATGTTATGGACGAATCGTCAATCATTGGCAATCAATCAATCAATCAATCAATCGTTCAAAGGGTGGATTAATCAAATCGTCGATCAATCAATCAATCAATCAAGGTGGTAAACCAATCGATCGATGAATGAATGAATGAATGAATGAATGAATGAATGAATGAATAAATGAATGAATGAATCGATCGATCAATGAATGAATGAACGAATCGATCAATCAATGCAATCAATCAGCAATCAATTAATGAATGAATCAATCATTCAGTCAATCAATCAATGAATTAAATGAATCAATCACCAATCAAGCAAAGAATCAATGAAACTTGGCAGTCGATCAATCTGTCAGACTATCAATCAATTCAATCAATCYRGCCATTACTCAAACAATCTATCARTCAATCASTGAACGGGACACGGATTCGACCAATCAATGATCATTGAATGATGATGTGTTTGTCATCCACCTAATGCACCGTCTTTCGTCCTGGCTTTATGCAGMTTGCATTTGTTGCATGCTTGCACGGTGTCTGCCGGCTCTAGGCAAACCACATTGTGCTCCGTTTGTGAGCCTGTCCACGTTTTGTGCATATCAGCAGGTAAAGTCCACGGTGCGATCATTTCTCCTAGTCCATCATCATGGCGTCATCAAGCAGACGTCGTGGAGATTCCCCCCGTGCAAGGCTCTTCATGATACAAAACAGCAGGACTTGCAGCGTAACCATCCAGTGTGGCGATGGGTTGCGAAGGGCCAATAGTACGGTCTGGCAGGAGGGGGTAACTTCCTCATGCGATGTCGCCTCTGCGATGAGGTTTTCCCGGGATCCAGATCTAGGGCAGTGGATCCCTTCACTAAGGTGAAGTCACATTGCCCACAGCGGACCGGGGAGATATTGTGGAATTTGCAGCGTTCAGGGGCGTTTTTGAAGGACCCCACGRCACAAAGGTTGGCTGCAGAGCATGCACAACGGTTGGACGGAGAGTTATCTGTCCAGGATGTGCATGGAGGTGAGGGACCTGATCCGAGCAYTGCACAAACACATCACGTGGTGGCAGGGGGTGGCGCATGTGCAGACAGTGCAGGTGGGGAGGTGGAGCCGCACCAAGGACCTGCACAGTCTGTTGCGGTGGAGGCTGCCGGTGCTACACGGACTCCTCAGGGAGCGAGTTCATCCATGCAGGTCGCAGTTAGACAGGTGCGGCAGGGCAGGTTAGATCCGTGGCCAGGGAACAAGGTGCAACGAGATCTGGACCGTCTTCTGGCTCTCGCCATGTATCGAGGCGGCGTCTCCTTCAACTGGCTCMGACTGAAGGAGACAAAGGACTACTGGGACTATATCGTCACACTCTTGAGGCCGAGTATTGTCCCTCTTTCGCGTTTGCTGACTTATGAGGGGGTGAGTACGAGGATGATGGATATTATCTACCACGAGGTAGCAACGCTGATAGCCCCTAAAAAGGCTAAGTGGTCAGAGACAGGGTGCACATTGATGACAGACGGAGCGATGGACCAGTGGAACAAGCCCATAATGAACTCCATCGCAGCAGGGCAGTCTGGTCCGGTCCTCATCCGCACCATTGACATGTCGAATAGGGAGAAGACCGCCGCCAGCCTCGCGGACATATGGGAGGGGGTGATTAGAGATATTGGAGTCGACCAGGTAAACGTCATTTGCACTGACAACGCGGAGGTCATGAAGGCCGCAGCAGCTACTCTACAGGCTCACCCGGACGCAGCGATTGCACGCATCCCTTGGGTCCCTTGTGCAGGGCATTGCCTGAGCTTGCTGCCCAGAGACATTGCTTCACAGGATTGGGTATCACCAATCATGAAGAGGGCTCACAAGATTGTGAAGTTCTTGAGGAATAAGCAAAGGGCAGCAGTGATTCATCGGGACATGACACGCGCCTTAGAACTAACCCGGCCAGCTGACACACGATTTGGGACAGCATACATGATGCTGCAGAGGCTATATGCGTAGAGGGAGATGCTGGACTCTGTTGTGTCATCAGATCGTTGGAAGAATGCACGCTGGACTGGAGATGCAAAGAAGGATGAGCCGTTCGTGCGGAGGATGTGCAGATCGCAGTGGTGCTGGGATCAAGTGAAAAGTTTGATGGATGTAATGGAGCCCTGCTACACATTCTTGAGGGATATGGATAAGGATGGGTCGTCTCCTCCTGGATTGTGGGATTTGAAGTCCATGCTGGAGAGGAAGATAGCTGCTAAGCAGCTGGATGAGCAGCAGAGGACACTCGTCATGGAGAGGGTTGTAGATAGGTGCACCATGATGCAACAACCTGCACATGGCGCAGCATATCTCCTAAACCCTCGCCGACGCAATATCTCTTTGTTGGCGGATCGCGGGTCGCCGGTGGTGCAGAGCGCTCTTGAGCACTTTGCGCGTTGTTCGGGTGTGGAATGGCAGGCAAACATCATGCAAGACTTGTGGCATGACTTGTGGACTTTTCATTGTGACGACCCTAGGTATTGGCCGGTAGAGGGACCACATTGGTGGGACGAGTTTGCCACAGGAGATGCTGCTACTGATGCGATGCACCCAGCGTTGTGGTGGCACCTTCACGGCAGGGGTACTCCGAAGTTGCAAGTGATAGCGAAGGCCGTGATTGGCATGTGGTCCACCGCGTCTCCATGCGAGCGCAACTGGGCTACACACGACTTCGTTCACACGAAGAGGCGCAACAGGCTTACTTCGCAGAGCATGGAGAAACTGGTTTTCATCCACTGGAACTTGCAGCTTCTTAGTGCGAGTCGGAGGCCAGAAGGACGGTACATCGATATATGGGCAGACCAGCTGGAGGATCCGCCTGTGGAGGTTGACAATGGTGATGTTGTGCCCGATGATGTAGACATGGACGAGTGGGAGGCTGCAGCTCGAGCCAACCGCCACAAGGAGGGCAGAGATCGCATAGGAGCAGAGTGGGGCCTGGTGGACGAGGAGGCAGACATGTCCCTTTGGCAGGATGATGTATGGATGCACCGGGAGATGATGGAGCAGGCCCAGGCAGAGAGGAACAAAGGGAAGACAGTTGTGGAGGATCACCACGACGTCTTCGACGAGTGGGCGACCCCCGACCCCCACGGCGACCTCGACACTTACGTGGACGGTAGTTTCAATTCTGTCAGGACTTTACGAGAGAGGGTGGGGGGCCACGTGGACTTGGAGGCGCTGCTACAGAGAGATGATGATGCGGACGAGAGGCAGCGCTTTTACGAGGAGGTTTGTGCATCCGCTCAACATGCAGGTGCGGGCGTTGCAGGAACGTCGTGTGCTACCACTTCAGATTTCCATGATCGCCTAGGGTCATCCCATGGGGGCGACGGAGGCGAGCAGAGCACGTTCGTGGAGCCACCTTCTGCCGCTAGTACATGTCCTGGCGATGCCACCGACGGAGTTGAGAAGACGGAGGAGCCGACCACCCAGCGTCTTGGAGAGGAAAGAGAGGAGCACCAAGTGCACTCCGCCACCCCACAAACAACAGTTCACATTCCTGGGGTCGGGATAGAGCAGGTGGCGCGTCAGAGTGCAGACCGTCAGAGGGTGACACAGACAGTTGTGCAGACAGCGCATCAGTCGATGGCCGGCAGGATGGATGACTCCCATAATGAGGGGGCAGATGAGGCCATACAGCAAGTCCTCTGCCAGAGAGTAGAGCAAAGCGTTGGGAATATTGCAGCGGTTGCAGCACGCGAGGGAACTGACCCAAGGGCCGAGGAGGGCGCACAACCACTGGTCGACCAGAGGGCAGAGCAGTTAGTGTGGGAGAGTATGGAGGCCATAGTTGAGTAGAGGGCGGAGTAGAGGGTGCAGTCGTCTGCAGATTGTAGAGTGTCCTTGAGGGTAGAGCAAAGGGTGGATCAGAGGATTGAGAGGAGGGTGGACATGACTGTGCACCAGGTGGTTGAGCAAACGACATTAGACAGACCACGCCTTAGCGTGGATGACAGAATGGGTGAGAGTGTGGTGCAGGATCGAGGTGGCATGACTCGAGGCTCTTTCTATGGGATCCCACCACTTCCGACGCTTCCCGTACTAGTGCTCGACGGCTTCGATCCACAGACACGTAGTGTGCCGAAACCATTCCGCCCCATTGTTGTTGACAGTGGGTCCACAGGAGTTGGGGGCGTAGTTGACTCATACTCTACTCTTGGTAGACCTGGGCAGCCTCCACCATCTCAGCACGTGCACACATTGCAGGCGTCGAGAGCAGCCTCCTCATCGACTATACAGAGATGTACAGGGATGCGGTCATCTTCGACGAGTCACACCCTTGTGAGTAGTCCATTAGGCATGCCCCCGCTTCCTGCACGGCGACCAGGTGCTATCATGGATAATGTAAAGACAAGTCGTGCCGTCAGGAAGAGAAAACTGAGCGAGGATGACGGTGCCACAACTCCTGTTACCAAAAAGAAGGTGGGTGGCACCAGCAGACCTCGTGGTCGCCCACCAGGAAAAGGCAAGGGCGCAGGGCAGGGCAAAGGTCGTGAGTCATGCGCTATGAGCGCTTTAGGTGATGTGAGGTCCACCCCTTCTCACGTGTCGCAAGCAGTGGGTCCACAAGGGGGCGCTGCTCATGGTGTACGTACCCGTTCTCGAGCCGCCGGAGACAGCACATCGAAACACTCTTCTCGCATTGTAGACGATGATCCTGATGAGGACAATGATGCACTTTCATCAGATGGTACGTCCGACAGTGATTATGAAGAGGAGACACTTCTGAGGGGTGTAGATGAGGGCGTCTTTGATGACACCTCAGAGAGCGCAGATGACGCCGCAGAGTAGCGGGACGAGGGTCACTGATGATGAATGGATGTGAGTGTGTGCGCTGTCTTTGGGGTAGGTCTGGTGTGGTGAATGCTAGTGCTTGTCTGATTGCTTGACAGTTGTCTGGTGCTTTGCTGCGAGGGTGGTGGGAAGAGACAGACAGAGAGATGACTGGAGATGCATTACGTTGCTGTAACCTGTGTCCTGCATTTGGTTATGAATCTCTGAATCAAACTTTGTGTACTTTGTCTCTTAGTCAATCATGCAGTTCATCAGTCAATCAGTTAGTTTGTTGGTCTTGCAGGGACTCGTGTGCTTGTCTGTGTGTGTGTGTGTGTGTGTGTGTGTGTGTGTGTGTGTGTG